ACTGGGGAAACAGACATGAAAAATAAACATAAGTGACCAGAGTTCAAAAGGAAAGGGCAAACACTGTAAAGGCAGCAAAAGTGTTTTCTGTAGGATAGGGGAAAATAAGCAAGTACATGGTTTTCTTTCACCTAAGAGAAATGAAAGGGTGCAGTCCCCTTACAGAAAGGCATAAGCATCCTTCGCCCACCCAGAAAGCCAACTGGAAGTTGTAGAGCCACATTGGTGCATCACCTAAATCAGGCTACTAGGTGCAAATTGAGGCACTGATGCATGGACTACACAGGAGCAACGTAAACCATCACCAGGCCACAATAGCTGTTGGCTCTATGCTAAAGTTCTTCATAATGTTAATATGCCTGAGACACTGTAGCACTTGAAGAGCTGATTCATAAGCCTTTCAGCCACCCCTGCCAGTTGGAGAAGGCTAGCCTTCAGAGGCTAGGGTACACAGTAAAACACACCAGGTACCTCAGCTTGACCCACATCTCAACATCTACCCAGCCTTTAAGCTCAAGTTACACACCATGTTGACATAACTATAGGTAGAAGTCTTGGATTGAAACCAACCAAAATCTCAAAGACAAAAGTAAACTGGTTGTAAAAGGATATGAACAAGTCTTCTGTCAGAAAATGGGAAATAAAATGGTTATACATTTCAGAAGCCTTCAGGCAAATTCTTCTATTCTTTCCATAGTCAGTTGGCATTACCTTTGTGTCTACTAGAGGATTAAACAGTTATTTAAAAACAATGGCTTTTTTAAAATGTTGTTGTCATGAGAAGACACTAATTCTCCCCTCGGTTTGGCTAAACATCCAGTGGTATCAACATTCCTAATCAAGTTTTCCCAGTGGATTAAAATTCCCAATCCCCAAACTGGAGCTCAGTTTATCGTAGGCCATCACAAATGCAGTTCCAGTTCTTGAAAGGGCGGGCTGCTTTGCTAACCAGCCCTTAGTAAGCATGCTAAGGCAAACTCCTGAAAACAGGCCAGGAGATACAGCAGATAGATGCATGACTCCTCCATGGTACAGATCTGCACACCAGCATGCTGAATGCATCCCCTCCTCAGCTCCCTAGACAATGTAATGATGTGTCCCATCACCTTTGGCTTCACCTAACAGTAATTGTTTAGCCAAGAAAATAGGAAACAACTTTATTAAATGTCAAGATAACAGCCTGTATATCTGTCCCTGTGAATATGAGCATCCGAACCTCACAGTCTTAGCAGGCCTATAAGGCAGAGAGCACCACTGTACCTCTAGGAACAGCAAGACACCAGCTCTTCTTACCACCTCTTCTGTGCAATACATGAGACGTATGGCAGGAAGTGTCAGTGCAGAAACAGCAATGCAGGTTTAACTTTGCAGCTGTGCAAAATCTGGCCTTCAACATCATTAGTGGTGTTCCACTAACCTTTTTTGCAGAATATATCTGAGCTTCATTCACTGCAGCAGTAGTACAGAAACAGCTTCTTCTGTTACTACACATCTCTAAAATTAGCATAATCTCTTCAGTGCCTGGCTTTAATTCTCTTTGCTGCTTCAAGGGCAAATCAAAACTGAGCCAGACATGTCAGCACAATATCCAGTACTGAAAAACATTAGTTATTAATCATTTAGCAACAGCTCATTGCAAAGCTTAAGAATTATTTTCCTGGGGAAAAAAAAAAGAGAGTAATGGTAACTGGAAGGTAGAGGGAATACTGAACTTGCAGACTGCAACAAATCCAACAAACTTTCTCCTCTTGATCACAAGACATAAATAAGAACCTTTACATGCAGCTGTAGGGAACAGAGCACTAGTACAAAGAGATGCTCCTGTCACCTCTGTCGCTTGCTCTCAGCAGAACACAGGTTTTTCACATAAGCACTCCTAAGGCAGGCAGAAAGAGGCACAGAAAAGCCACTTCATTATAAAGGGGTCAACCACTCACACTGATCAATGCTGCACTGAGGCCCGTATGGAAGACAGGAAAACTCACGCTCCCTCAGCCTAACCACAAGACTTCTTTTCATGAGACTTCACGGCTTTCTGTGATCAATATCTTGTCATCCTGATACACCTCTAGAGAGCTAGAAAGCACATCCCACAAAGAGGAAGAGGTCTAGCTTCTTGGCATTACTCTAGCTTTTAGATATAACAGAGATTCAGAGAATCAAACTCAGGCCTCCCACTTAGAAAACTTAAGAAAAATGAAAGCATAGGAAATAGAATCCTTCAGTCTATAATGCAAAAGTGACAGGATTTCCTTTTAAAACTACTCAGTGTGAGGATCACTACATTAAAACTGGCCAGATGCTCCCACTTACACTCAAGAGGCTGAACAGACATGATGTTATCATGCATCAAATTATCAAACTAATAGAAGATATGTCAAATACTTACCACCCAAAACTTCAAGCAAGTTCTGCCACACAAGAATTGTAACACACCTACACACCTTTTCAAAGGGATGTCAACAGAGAGTGACTTTCCTCACAGACAAAAATATTTGAAGATATTTGTGAAAGGATTCATGCAGAGTAAGCAATGAAAGCTCTAGCATCAGCTGCAAGTCTCAAGAGCACCTAACAGACTTAAAGACTTAGCTTCTCATTTTGGGCTACTACAGGAAAGAATCGGACTTTTTATACTCTTCAGTATGCAATTGTCTCTCCACGTTAATGTTACCCACATACTACTGCTGCACAGACTCTTTAGTCTGCAAAAAAGCGATGGCGCATTCTGTACCATCTGATAAACTCCTGAGGGATCATGCGTCCAGAGTTCAAAGGTATAGGAAAAGTCTAGCATCATCTCATATGGAGCCTGTTTAGGTTAAGGTAACATTTGACACCAGTACTCCCGCAGCCTCATTAGCACTTCACCAGATGGCATCAACTGACTTTCCAGATTGCAGGCATTCACTTGCTATGCTTGTGGAGGGACAGAGGGAGTTGTCTGACTGTATCACTGACACTCACACACAAGGGAGTCCATGAATAAAGGTAAACTAGGACTAAAGTCTTTTGCAAACTACACAATCTGGTATTTTTCTGCCACAAAAATCCACATTTACTTGTAGCTTTGCTGATGTAAGAACCATAAATGGCTTTGACAGCGTTATTCTTTCACTCAAAGGATTTGCTTATGGGGCCATCATGGGTCTTTGCATTTCATTTAGTTCAAAGGGCTTGCAACAAGAGCCAAGAAAAATCTATAGCCAGCTGGCAATGCCTGGGAACATTCGCAGTCTTCACATTCAGTTTACTAGATTTCTCCTCCCCTACTTACCCCTCTCCCAGCACTTCAGAACTAGAAACGCTACTGACATTTTTATTACTATGAAGAGATCAAACCTGAGTTACATTTTACCATGAAGTAGAAGACAGTGTCTACTGCAGCTTGCTGTCTGAGCATGACCTCTTCTTGCAGATGCTACACAGCCCCAGCAGACTCACCAACCTCTAACTAAAGGTAGTTAACATCTGGTATGTCTCCAAATACTCCCCAGGCTGCTTCTTCCAAACCACACCAGCAAATACTTATTTGCATAGGCTACCATCTGTGACTGCTGTAGTGGGAAGCTTAGTAACATGTCTCACTTGAGACTATTATTATTTGGGGAGGGCTGAGTGGAGGGGGTGTTTCCAACCTGTGTAATATCCACTTTAACAATAAAAGCTTTAATTCTAAAGTATTAGCAATCCTTCTGCTATACGATCTTTTCTTTACACAAGCAGCCAGGAATCAGGGTTATTATATACCTAAAACTTCCCTCATCTAATTCTAAGGAAAGTTGATGAAGTCACTTCTGCTGAATCTCTGAGATGAACAATAAATAGTCAAGGAATCAATTAAGAATAAAAGCTATACATCAAACAGAAGTTTGAAAAGGAGAAAGAAAAAGGCCTTGAGGTACAGATACAAAGCCTGCTTCCTCAAAGATACAGCCTGCTTTTTTTGGGCGAACATTCAAACCTTGTAGGTAAGTGGCAGGAAAGAAACTACTAATTTCAACAGGGCCAATGTGTTTTCCTTGTTCTCTTTGCATTCTCTGCACCAAAAGTAACAGCATATGGCTATCTGTCCTGTCCTACTAAACATTAGTTAAAGCATGACTTAAAAACCTTCACTTTTTCAAAGCAAAAAGCTATGCAGAACTTGTTTTAAACTTTTAGTTCTTCACAGCTGAAGAGATATCAAATGAAAAGCAACCAAAACCACAGTAAATGGGAAAAGGAAGTTACAAAGGCCCTCAACACTTGTCCTCCACCTGCTCTCAGGCAGGAAGATGCAAGTTACTAATGGCTGCTGGTACACAGGCAGTTACCTACCTAGCTCTCCACCTGACAGGCTGTCTCCGTAATTAGGTACCTTTTACTGGATTAAGCATTTACTCCTAAGTAAAAGAACAGCGTGTTCACTACAGTGAAGTACTGAAGTCAAATAAATTGCTCCAAACATTTACATGCCAACTTCACTCTCTTCCTTGAGCTGAAAAAAAAGTTACTTGCTGAAAAGTGTTGTTAAACATAACTGGCAAGTAATTTTGCCACTTAAGGAGCAAGAAAGTTACCTCAAATTCAAACTATATCTCACACAACATATTTCCCTTTTTCACTGCTCACTGTTCAGTAAGTGTCACTGCTCCATGTATGTTTCACAGGTCACATCACCCACTACATAGACTTCTTCCAGTGTCAGAAACACGTAGGTCTCCAACAAGTATCCCTGTGTGCAAAACTGTTCCACTGCTCTACAGCAATTCTCCACATTCTCTGCAGAAGGCAAGACTCAATATACTTCAGTTTGTTTTTCAATGTCAGTTCTTTTTGCAGACTCTGGACTTCTTTTGTCCAGAGTTGTGTCGCAACATTGCCAAGAACAACCTATCAGGACTATCAGTGGTGACATCATACTTGGAAACACAAACATCACTCATCCAGACAGCAGAAACATCCCATGAACCAGGTAATCCCCACATACATTTATACAGTTCAAAATTTAAATGAAATTACTCTGTTATATGAATAGTTGTTTATTCAGCCATTTTTTGCACTTTACAGCTGGAATTCTGGAAATTCAAACACCACATCTTTGCCTGTGAGCTTCTTGTAGACACCAGAAAATGTTTCAACCTGTGAAGACAAACAATCTTGTTTATAAATGCTGTGTAAAGAAGTAAAATCTATATTAACATACTACAGGTACTATGCTATTTCCCACTGCATCTTCATTCTGATGTGAACTCTCAGGCTGATTATTTTCTTCTAGATTAAGGTGGCTGACCCTTTACAAAGATGAAGTTTTCTGAAGAACATCTGAAACCTGATTTGCAACCATAGAAGACCCAGAGAGCTGACCGGTCTGAAACATGCCCCCCACAGAAAAAAAAACACTAAGCAAAATGATGGGGGACTTCAGGCTGTACCAAGTACATGTTTAAGGTCAAAACTAAGTGCTTCATTTAAAAGCAACAAAAAAACCCCGAACTAACAGGAAAAACCTCCAAACAACAAAACACTGTTCCCATGAGGGAACCAATATAGCTACTTTACAATCCAGGGTTTTTGGCAAGTTGAACTAAAGCTTCAGTTTAAAATTGTCTTGCCTCATCTTCAGCATCTTACTCCAAATACAAACAGAAGCATCTCTACTGCCACAACCCGATGTCTTTTGCTGTATCACATAAGCAGCCTCTTTGCTATGTCAAAACGCCACCCCACCCTGCACAAGAAAGGAAAGTTTTTGGTTTACCTTGTGTTCAACATTGTTCTGTTGTGCTTTGTCCAAATGGACTTTTATGAGCCTGCTGCCGTCCAGTTTTACACGGATTCTCTTGCCCACAATTTCACTTGGGAAAACCAGGTCTTCAAGAATGGCATCATGCACTGCAGTAAGCGTACGGCTGAAATGCCACATATGTATCATTAAAACATGTCCTCTTGCCAAACTTTCCAATTTGCCAAGGCTTAAACCTTTCACAACATGCATTAGCTGAAAATTCAGTGGCATTTTGGTGGTGGTGTTGGTTTTGCATTTTAATGCTGCATTGTGACAATACCACACCTTTTCACAGGTCATGCAAAAATAAAAGCTGAATTCTACAGAGAGCAGAAGCTTGACTGCATGAGGGGGAAGAAAGTCAGTAGCCAGGTTTATGACCTTTTAGATCACACATAACTCTGCGGCAATGGTCTTGAAATGCTCTTTTCTTTCTACATATTTAAGAAAAATTTTACTTAAATAAAAAACAAGTTGTCCCATCTGCAATTTTGCTAGAGACAAAAAAGAGTTTAAGTGTGCAAGTATCTTCAACCACACAGAGTATGTTTACAGGAGACAGAGTTTTGAAAACACTGGGTTTTTTTTATCTGTTCAAACCCACGTGGCTTAAAACACCAATGTGTTACAAGAAAAGTCTAGTTAGTAAGTTTAGTCCATGCTCAGAAGACTGCTTGAAGTCTACATTTGTGCTCTTGAACTGTTCAGAACTAACCCCAAATGAGGAAAAATTAACCCAGGTTATTTTGTGTACGAATCTAGATGACTAGTGAGTTTTACAGCTTCTCTATCTGCAGTTTCAAGGCAGTATCACTAGTAACTAAGACCTGTGTCTACAGCAGCATTACAAACTTTCAAAGACTGGGATGGCTAAGGGAAACAAGCATCAATTACATTTCTGCGTTTCACAATATACTCATTAGTTTTACAACAGTATCAGTCTGATTCACTCCCAGGCTTAGAAAGGGACTCCTTCCCTTCTGCTGAAAGCAGCAGCATGCTAACCATGTACACAGATGCCAACTTTTCTACCCACTATGTGATACTAGTTTCAACATAATACAGAGCCCTCCAAAGGCAGGACTGCAGCTAGATGAGTACTTTGAAACTGCACTTTTAAATTCTATGCCTGAAGATTTCAGAATACAGTAACAGACATGATACAGGTATAACACTGAGTCTGGGAGAAGTTACAGGAACATGCACATGTAATAAGGAAGACAAACTTTTAAGACATTGTCTACATGATACAGTAAGATAGAGAACAGTATAGAAGCAGCACTGACATCCACATAGACATAGTAGTATTGCATGTCTAGCAATAAGAGACTAGATGACAGCAGGAAGACCATTAACAGAAACAGACTATACTACTGTTTTTAAATTCAGACCCAGGACTATTCATACCCACACCCCTCCTCAACCACTCTCTCCTTCACTGCATCCCCTCAGTGTGCCAGCCCTGTCTTCCATACAGTCTAGCACATGATGTGGCAGTGGCTCTTCCTACAGCTTAAAAAACAAAAAATTCCTGTCAGCACACTGCAGTTAACAGAAAGAGCAGTTTGAGGTTTCTTAGGCCAGTACTGCTGCCTAAAAATTGTCTATGACTGTAGCTGGAAATACAGATGGAGTTCAAAGAAACGCAACACAGTGCCCAAAGACAAGCTTTTTACTACGCTCTTCAGCCGTTAAGTGGCAGATAGTATTTCAAGTAGTAAGAGAACAGACAAGATCACCCAATCACTTGAATGAGTTCTCAAAAACTTAACTAAACATTACTTGACCACACTACCAAGTTACAAAAGAAGGCTGTCATACTGAATCATTATTATTTACTTACCTTCTGGGACGCTTTTGCTTGTTTTTTGTGCGGCTTTTTCTTGTTGGCTTGGGCAGAATCCTTCTCTGTTAAGGAAAAAAAAACAAACAAAACCCAAAAAACCCAAATATTTCTCACTACCTACTGTTTACGGTCAACTCAAAAAAAAAAAAAAAACAACAAATCACACACACCTTTTTTTCCCCACAAGAAACAGCAGCACAAAACATCAAAAAGGGAGACTTAAGTACATCCAAAGCTCCATCAGTATTAGAAACTGATACTACTTGCAGAACCTGAAGTATTAGTACTAGTATTGCTTATTTCTCATCGACTGATCCTGTGCATTGAAACAGAAGAGCTGTACTGCATCTCTCCTTCCCCAATGAATAGAATCATAGAATCACAGAATGTTCGGAGTTGGAAGGAATCTCAAAAGATCATCCAGT